AACTAGCAGCTCGCAATGCAGGTGCACTAGCTAAAAAGCTAAAGGCAGCCTCTTCCTTCATGCTGAACCCTCACGCTGAACGCACCCCCGCCACCCGAAAACTGTCGGTATAAACAGTGCACGGCTCAGATGTGCATCTGTTTCTCCCCTGTAGTGAACTTAATCTGAGGTCAAGACTAAGCCTAAGGTCAAAACTCTTGACCTTAAGAACCTTGTGGGACAGGAACTGTCATTTCATTGATTTGAATCCAGAAATACAGGTTCACCCATCCTGAGACTTTCTTTCTTGGAAAGTCAAGTGGAAGAACACTCTCTGTTCTATTATCATTACTATTTTACAAATGTTGATAATCAAAGTGCCTTAGTTCAAACCATTTTAGATGTTGCAGTGAACTAATCAATTTTATTAACTGTGTAATGATTTTTAATTCTCATGCAAAGTTAGAACTCATGTTAAAGCTGTTACAGATTTTTATGCATTTTCTGATTTCTGCTTTTGAATGAGCAAGTGTGCGTTTTCCAGGGTCAGGAATCGAAGCAGACATGTGTTGGAACAACTGTCTTGTTTATATCCTCTCAGACGTCAACAGGGGGGTTTTGGCACCTGTTTTTCAAACTCGCCAAAACAAAACTCTCTCTGTCTGTGAGAACATTTCTGATCTGTTCCATAACAATTCTTGCTGTCTTCTAACCTCTTACGTCACAAAACACACCCCCGTCTGGTCGGTTCTGACCAATGGGAAGACTCCCGAATGAACCGGGAAAAGAGCTCTTTAAAATGTCGGTACTTCCTGGTCTACACAGTTCTGACAGTGCTGGAAGTTTGGAGAGTTCTGTGAGAGTTGAAGTGAGTTCAGTTCTGCGCGGAGAAGCCCAGTTCTGTGGGGTTCTGTTGGGAGATCAGCAGTCCAGCATGATAGAGCTCTTCCGAGTTTCATGGGATTATAACATTTTCCACTGAGGTGAGCTGTGGCGGACAGAATCTCGCCGCTACTCCGGACGAGTAACAGCATCCTACGGAGACGCTGAAAGGGTGCGTTGGGTGGAATCTCGCCTGAGACATCTCCAGGTAAAAGAGTCGATTTCACCACCTAAGTGTACTGTAAGGAAGAAGCTGAAGAAAGCCCGGAGAGTGCCGTTCTGTTCAACACTCTACCTCAAACACCATCTTTCTCCCCTTTAAACTTCATCTTGTCATCTTTAAACTCTTCTATCAAGTAGATATTCTTCCAGATATTTTAGAAATGTCTGTGTAAAGTGCTCATCCACCGCCGTGTGGGTAAAAGATCATAATTGTACAGTTTTCATAAATGTCTGTGGTGAAGCAACGGAAAAATCATGGCCGTATGATTTTTCCTGATCGATTGCTTTTGTTGTTAATTTCATAATTTGCCAAATTAATGTAAATGTTTGATGTTAAACTTTGATTCTGTAAATAAATGACCGCATTCATTTTGATGGGTCAAAGATAAATGACGTCTCACGTTTGCATTTCCTTAAATTCAATGCACGTTTTATTCAGTCCAGAAAAATGAGGAATCCGTGTTAATTGATGAATATATCTGAGCATCTGTTCATCTACACCCCCCACCTAAAAAAAACCCCTGTCGGTTCAGACAGTTCGCGGCTGAGATGTGTGTGTCTCTCTCCTCTCACACACCCTGGTCTAAAACTGTAAAACTGTTGGTTTAAACAGCGCGCTGCGCAGCTTAGGTCAAGTCTCCGTTCACCCCCCACGGACAAAAATCACGGACAAAATGAACGCCCCGCCATGGCAAGTTATTTAGGGGAAACGCTGGTTTCATTTATTTTGTGAACAAACATGCTCCTTTTCGTCAGTTCAGAATAAAGGGATGAGACAGCCCCTGGTTTACTCCAGAGCTAGCTGACCTCCTGCACAGGAGAGATCATCTTTGGGCCACAGTGAGAAAATCTGACTCAGACACTGATTGGTTGAGTTTTCGGTAGATGAGGAATAAATGCACAACTGCCATAAAAGCTGCAAAACATAACTATTTCTTATCTCAGACCTCCAAAAATCTAAATGACCCTAACAGATTCTGGAAAACCATCAAATCTCTCTCAGGCAGGCCCCAATCATCTGACCTCCCATCGCAACTTCTTGTTAACTCTGTTCCTGTGTCAAATAAGCACGAGATCCTGAACTGTTTCAACAAACATTTTGTTGCTTCTAGTTCTTTATTTGACACAGTTACTAATGGAAAATCAGCCAATTCACTTAATAACCAAACTTCTACAAATCAAATCCCTCCTATAAGCCAATCCTCAGTTAATCACACCTTCTCATTTTCTCCGTTCTCAGTCAGTGAGGTTAATAAACTGTTAACAGGTCTTGATCCTAAAAAATCTGCAGGTCCAGATGAACTCCCACGTTATTTCCTAAGGCTGGCCGCTCATATCATCGCAGTCCCTGTAATCCACATCTTTAACCTGTCCTTAAGCCAAAACTCCATCCAGACTCTTGGAAAACAGCCTTTGTTCTTTCTTTGCTGAAGGGAGGTGACCCCACCTCACTGAACAACTATCGGCCAATCTCTAAACTCTGCATTTTAGTCAAGGTTCTAGAAAAACTGATAAACTCTCAAATCAAAAATTACCTGGACTCATTTAACATCTTACTTCTCCATCAATCTGTTTTCAGGAAACAACACAGCATAATGACTGCTTCACTGAAGTTTCTTAATGATGTCGTTAAAGCATTGGATGCTAAGGATTATTGTGCTGCACTTTTCTTAGACCTGTCTAAAGCTTTTGACACTGTGGATCATAACATCTTGTGCCATAAGCTCTCAGAAATTGGTTTCTCAGATCATACCATTGGTTGGTTCTCAAATTATCTGTCATATCAGAGGCAATGTGTTCAACATAATGGTACTTCCTCCAGTTATTTAACAGTCAACAATGGTGTACCACAAGGCTCAGTCTTAGGAATCACCCTCTTTACAATCTACATAGGTAATATAGGTCAGAGCATCCCTGATGCAGCCTTACATTTCAATGCTGATGACACAGTTGTTTCTTGTTGAGCTAAAATAGTTATCAAGGTGTTCCAGCTTTTACAATCCGCATTTGACATCATCCAGTCTGATTTGTTCCACCTCAAACTCGTCTTAAATGCCGATAAAACCAAAGGGATATCTTTTTCAAACAGGGAGTTGGTCCCAGCAGTTCTTCCTCCGATTTTATCCTCAAATGGTGTCCCCATTGAGTTTGTTGATTCTTAAAAATATCCTTGTAACTGTGACTTTCCTTCCCTCCATTGATTACGGTGACATTATTTACATGAACGCTCCTACAAGAACCCTGCAGATGTTGGATGCTGTCTATCATTGTGCACTAAGATTCATAACTGACTGTGAGTATTGTACCCACCACTGCACCCAGTATTCACTGGTTAACTGGACATCATTAACTTCACACAGACTCTCCCCCAGGAACATTTTCATCTTTAAATCACTTCTTGGTCTGCTGCCTTCATACATCTCCTCTTACGTGTCTCTGCATGAGTGCAGCTACAGCGTATGCTCTCAGGACATTATTACCTGCAGTGTCCCCTCAGTAAAGACTGATCTTGGCAAAAGGGCCTTCACCTACTCCGCTCCTGTTTCCTGGAATACCTTGTAAAAAGATCTGAAGCTCTCGACCTTGACCTCTCTAAGTGGCTTTAAGAATCTGTTGGACTCCTGGCAAGGACCAATGCAGACATGTTCCTGTTTTTAGTTTTCTAGATTTGCCTTATAATCTAGCTGTTTTTGTTACTGTTTTTGCCATCTTATTTTAATTTGTAAAAAAAAAAAAAAAAATCTGTATGCCTTTTTATAACTGTCTATTGTTGTCATCATTCTTTGTTAAAATTCAGGTCTCTCTTGTAAATGAGTACTCGAGGCTCAATGGTATTAACCTGTCTGAATGAATGAATGAATGAATATCAGTGTTTCCTCCTACCGTTATTCAAGGAGGGCGTCCCGCCCTTTCAACAGAACTGAGCGCCCCACCTACCAAATAACCACCCCTGACCCAATGCAGGCCCACAACTTCCTGACAGGGAGGGGAGACTGTAACAGCTCAAACTCCAAACAACACGCAGTACAAACGTAGCACCCCCCCCCACACACACACACACACCACCACCACCACCGAATGGTTGAGAACTAACAGCACTAACATAGCGCAAAGCCAACCAACACCCACGTGCAATACAAACGTAGCCCCCAGCCCCCGTCAACCTGTCGAGAACCGACTGCACTAATACAAAGCTTACTGTTAGCAGCGCTAAGCTCACCAACCCTTTGGTGAAATACAGAGACGTAGCGCTCTGCTTCTCTCCATTTCAACCACCCGCAAATTAAAAACCAAATCGATGACAGAGAAGAGGTTCAGATGAGCTGAGTGTGTTTCTCACCACAGCTGGGTTTTTCCCACTCCTGGAACTCCACAGATTTCTGTTATCTTCTCAACAGGAAGTCCTCCTCCAAGTGCACTGTCCAGCTGTGAGCAGAAGGTTATGATGCTTCTGAAACTCTCTTCCTTCTGAAGGAGCTCCAAAGCACTCAGAGAGGCTCCACCACATCCTGTCCTAACAGCCTGAAGCACCTGTAGTGCCTCTTGTTGGGAAACTCCAGCCTCTGCAACAAAGAAAATCAGAGGATAGGAGTATATATGTTACAGTGGTTGTGACCTTGTAACTTTGATTTGTGCACCTGTAGAAAAAAGGTTTACATTAATACTTTAACCCAAATTACCAGAAAAAGAAATTACAGATGTGTACAATTATATTTACATAGAAATAATTAGACTTACAGGTTTGTAATTCATCATTTACTTGTGTGTATTTTATTTATTTATTTGTTGCTTTTCTACATTTTAAGTTCAACTGCAACAAAAAGTTACAACTTCTCAAATATGCTGGTGAAGATTCTCAGTCATCCAGGACATGATGAATTCAAAAAGCGTTCAATACAAAAACAACTGGACTTTACTTGTAACAGAAGACGTTTCGCTCCTCATCCGAGGAGCTTTCTCAATTCAAAGAGCAGAGAGTGAGAGATTCAGGTTATAAGGCTGAGTGAGATAAGGCACACACACATATGTAGATTGGCAATTCACACCTAAACAACCTTAACAGTAAGAGTCTTTTGTTCCTCTAATGGACTATATGCCACGGACTTCCGTTCTAGCGCTTCCGCATTCATTAGCCAGGCTGCGCACTTCCGGCTCTCAGGCAACACAGTGTTAGCAATGGCGTTCTTCACGCGTTCGCTGTAGGACTTGCCGACAATGTCTGTTAATGATGTCTACAGAATTATTCAGACGTCCTCGAAAGCGCCCACATCCAAAAAGGACAAAGGATTTAAGCTTTATGTTTCCAACTACATAAATAACTATGAAGGTAAGTCGGTATTTGTTTTTCAGTTCACCAAACTGCCTCATATAGGCTACATATAGCACAGCTAACATGGCTAATCTTGCGAAATTGTTGCGTAAACGTTGTGTTTTGTCTCTACAATGTTTCTGTTTAACACAAATCTTAGTTTCAAACAAGGAGGCAGGAGAAGTCACAGTTAGGGCTGAGTGTTTCCGTTCCATGAAGAAGAGCCAGAAGCCCCATTGTTTGAGTGTAAGTCAAAGAGACCCGACATGTTCACTACAGGGCTGTGTTTTAAGAAGCTAGTAGGACTTTGAAGAAGTACACATTTTATATATGATAGTCAAACTAAATCACATAACATTAACTGGCTACTACACAAGTTATCTCTGATTGATTAAAGCAACAAAAAAAGCCCAACTTGTGTTTATTTTATTTATTTATTTCTGAGGTACACAAAGGAACAGTTGCTTCAGGTTTGTTATTTTCAAATCAAGTTTCTGTGAATTCTGTCACTGCAAAAAAAAAAAAAAAAAAAAAAGAAGAATATGATTGAACTGCATCAAATGGAACCTGGGTTGTCATGTAATACATAAACTTAGGGAGTATCAGAAAGAATATAACAGTGATGGTTCTCACAGAAATGAGATTGTGTTTTGAGTTCTTTTTAGTTTAATGAGTAAAGTGAGCTTAGACAAAATATATTTTAATATATTTTACATGCTAAAGGTGTCTTAACATTTTTTCTCATTTCACTTTGATCATTTTTAATGATTACTTAAAAGCTTTATTAATGGTTTTATAATTATGGTTGTCTTTTTATAATAGCACTTGGAGCTGGTACATTTTGGTCTCTTAACAAATATTTGGTATTGTACACAGATGGTGCTGAGGGAATCAAAGCCGGTGGAGTTTCAGGGGTGCCAGTGCACCTGTGTGGCAGGTACAGTCTTGTGCAGCCATGTGGCAGCTCTGCTGTTCCAGATGGCTCACTACTCCCAGTTCAAGCTTCCAGCTGTACCTCCAGTCCGAAGCTGCACAGATACCCAACAGAAGTGGCATAAACCAAGGACAATGGTAACTACATATACATGAGTCTTTAATCCTGTTTATGAATTTTAGTTCAATATTTACAGCAATGTTGTTTTTGGATGCAGGGCATAAAACCTGGTCCAGTAAATGACATGGTCGTCCTGTCAGCAAGACCAAGAGAGAGGAAAATCTTTGAAGGAATTAGGTTTGTTTTAATTTAAAGACCACAGACACACATGCACAATAACACACATGCACAATTTTTTTAATTTAATTTAAAAACAAAACAGAACACATATGTACAACAAAAACTTAATTGAACCATTTAAGTTTATTTTGTGGGCAGCACGGTGGTGCAACTGGTAGAGCTGCTGCCTCTCAACAAGAAGGTTGCTGGTTCAAATCCCAGTCCGGGGGCCTTTCTGGGTGGAGTTTGCATGTTCTCAGTGACCCAAAATGGAAGAAGCGAGTAAAAGATAATGGATGGATGGAAGTTTATTTTGTACTATATTAGAAATACTTTAAAAATGCAAATAAGTAAATAATTCAACTTTGTTTTTAAACAAGACAATAATTTGAATCCCTAAAATACAATAACATAGGCTTCATTTAATATTAATTTTATCATTTGAATATTCATTTCTTGTTTATGACAGTTTTCTTTTTCTCCACAGAAGCAACTTGTATAAAGGTGCTACCAGCCCTCTTCCACTCATCTCCACCCTAAGGATACAGGATGTGTACAAGGGACTTCCAGCTGAAGAAGCTCCAATGATAACCACAATGGCTGTCTCCAACGATGTCCCTCTTGTTGACTCTTTGTTTGGTCCGGTACAAGAGGGAAGCGTTCGGTCATATCAGCTGCCAGCAAGGATAGTTCCCAGGACCCGTCCACACCAAGACGCACCTTCTCCCCCACAGCTTCCACTCTTCAATTACAGGCTTGAACCCTCCACCTGTGAGTATGTTTGTTCAGAACAAGAGCACCACCATATGACGTCCCTTGAGACAACATTAGAGATGTCTCACAAAATTGAGAGCAGCACGCGGGAGCAGAGTTTCTGTGCAGAGTGGCACCAACTAAGAAAGTGTCGTGTTACCTCAACAAGATTTAGGGAGGTCTGTCACACCAGGGGTGACAGCTCTTCTGAAAATCTTGCCAAAAGGCTTCTGAGGCCCTCCAGTCAGACTGCTGACCTGCGGCGGGGGCTTGCCTTAGAGCCAACAGCAGTAGAGGAGTACTGCAGGGTAAGGGAAGTCAACCACTACCCCTGTGGGTTCCTGATCCATCCTGACGCACCATGGATGGGGACATCACCAGACGAAATTATTTACGATCCTGAGGAGCAACAACCGTTTGGCCTTTTAGAAATAAAATGCCCAAATGTGACAAGCTGGGTGGACTGCTGTTACATAATGATTAGGGATGGTAGGCAGACACTCAAACGAACACATCCATATTACTGGCAGATCCAGGGACAAATGTTGATTTCAGGGTGTGACTGGTGTGACTTTGTCATTTACACAGAAAATGACATGTTCATTGAGAGGGTTCCTCGTGACATGGAAGTACTGCAAACCATAAAACAAAAGGTTGACCATTTCTTTTTTTATTTTTACCTCAGTGCTTGCCTGGTCAATTAAAGTGGCATTGTAAAGCTAAACCTTTGAATATATGTGATTAAATATATTGTTAATACCTGAGTCATGTTCCTTTTATTTTATTTTAGTTTTAATCAGTTAGTTATTTCTGTTTAAGGTCTGATACAATTTATTCTGTATGAAATTTGCTACTTGACTGTCGTAATCGTACCCTCTTTGCAAACTGTTTCTGTTTCAACATTTTGTGCTCTAGATGAGTGGCATTATTTTTTTTAGCAAGAACAGTTGATACTTTTTGGAGTTCCAGGAAGAGCCATTGTTAGTGCATTTACTGTAATT